CAGAATCTGAATATCGCAAAATATTTTAAAAATTGCAATAATATCGTATCGTGGGTTAAGTATTGTGATAATATCGTATCGTGGGATGTATGGTGATTCCCACCTCTAGTGTTTACATGTCTTTCAGTATATAAACACAATCAGCTTTTTGGACGTCTGCTGATTCACAGCACATGAACACACCTAAGGCCAAATAATCCACAGCTAGAGTTAGAAAGTACTTTATCTTTGAGCGTATCAGTGGACTGAAGGGTTTAGAATGTGCACCAAAATGACAGAATAGATGACGCATTACCAACAGCATATCAAGGTTTGTCCATGTTAAATCAACCACGGCTTTTCCTGGGAATTTTTTTTCATTTTATATTTGACTCTAATATTGGTCTTGACTCAAACTTGAACGCTGGTGTGGGAATCAGTGATCAAGGGTTATTGTCTGGTTACTACAGGAGCAGAAGGCTAAATGGGTTCAACTAAGAACGAGTCAGCGTTCTGGATGTGTTGTTCTCTCTGAGCTCTGATCACAATAATACTTTCCCTGTTGACTGTAGAGGCGACTGTTGTTGTGATTTGATGCAATATAAAGAAAATTGAATTTCATATTGGAATGAGGTCGTAACAAATTTGGTGAAGGCATACATGTAAAGCGCTATATAAATACAGGCCATTTACCATTTACATGTTCCATATCTTGTATATCTACCCTCTTTTTTCTTGGCTTAATTTAATTTCTTTGTTTTATTAATGCACGCTAGTTTAAGACGTTGCTTTAAAAAGCAAATGATCTCTCACCCACACTAAGGAACAGGGCTAGGTTATAAGTTATATTAATTTATAACAATATTTCAAAGAAATATGTGATGACAGTCATGACAATATAATAAAAATATACTAATCAAGGTATTATCAGTGTGGCTTGCAATAGGCATTTATTTATTAGAGAAAACAAAATAAAGGCATTTCCATCCTCTTTTTTGAATGAGTCTATAATGACAGACTGCCTCATTCAAAGTTTGAATTTACTGCCACAAGATGCCAGCAACAGCATCGTAGTATGTTATTTACAGTCAATGCAAGTCAATCAAATACAAGAACAAA